GGACGTCAATGGGTAAATGGATAAATAGGGCTACCCCGTTTTTAGTAAAGAAAATGCACGGATAAATTTCTCCACAAAAATCGGCACCACCATTAGAGCAATCTTCCATATCAGCAAGATCAGATGGAACAAGAGCGACAAGATGTCCAGCAGACGGTCCATTAATTGGACAATAGCATCAAGACGATTTTATGCAAAGACCTGACGTATTTGGTATTGGAATAAGGCTTAAGGGTAAAAGGAGTGTGGAATGGCCGAAATATCAGAGGAAAATCAGCCACTCATTAATCAGGTGCAATATAATTTTGAGCAAATTATTCTTCCATTCTCTGCACGAGGCCCATTTACTCTCGGGACTTAGACCCATTTATCTCTGATTATTAATATCACCCATTCCCGGCGCTATCTGTAGACACTATGGATGAACGTTCCGCTTTCTTTCGGCTGTTTGGTCCACCACGTCCGATCATCCGACTCAGTGCCTTTCGTACCGAGGCGGATCTATTCACCTTGCCTGCCAGCCCATTTACCAGAGCGATAGCCATCTGGTGATGCTGTTGCTGAAAATGATTCTGCTGGTGATGATGGCGTAGGGCTTGTGGAGAGGAAGATAAAGGACTGCAGTACTCAACATCAGTAATTGAAGAGTCAGCACAAGCACTGGCAGCTGCATTAGCAATAGCATGTGAATTAGCGGTTTTCGAAAAGGATATCTCCATTCCGGATAGACCCTCGGCGTTCTGATGACGGTGATGCTGTTGTAAGTGATGGTGGCCGGGCCCCGTGGAACCTCGGCCGCGGTGGAGTGAATGCTCTTGGTTTCCATGACAATGACCGTGGCCAGTTGCAACCTCAGTCCCTGAAATATCACCATTTACTTCGCCCAAGGCCAGAGTGCGAGCAAAGTCAACCTGTGTGTAGTTGACAAGGCCATCGCCATTGTTATGAAGCTGGCTGACATTAACAGGAACCAATTTTTCTACTTGGGGACAAACAGAAATAGCATCAGATACAAGACCCGTGGCAGGGATTGATGCCGCCACGGCTGATAAACTGGACAGACTATTGCCCCCAACCAAGGTACTAATGCTTCGCTTCTCCTCAATACCGGAGGCTGCCAAAATTTCCGCACCGACCGGGGTGACTTGAGTAGTAGCACAGGAAGCGATAGATAAAGAAGCAGAGTACGTTTCAGTCATCGACTGCGACATCTGATCTATAGCTGTAGGAGACCTGAAACAACATTCTAGAGGCGAATCAATAAATGATCCAGTACAGACTCGGCCGCTGGGTGCTCGAGTAACATCCTGATCAGTGACGGCACTGGAGCCAAGACTGTGACCGGAGTGCCCAAGTACAGAAGCCGGAGTTGCAATCACAGGCACATAGTTAAGCACAATGGTTGAGTCATTGTAACGCCCGGATAGACCTGTTTCTTTAGTGACTGGAAGAAATGATGGGGGTAGTGGGTGTTGATGATGCTGGTAAGCTGAAGGCGTAGCAGAAGAAATGGAATGACTGTGCCGACGACGACTGTTACGAGGTTGGGCCATCTCTTCAGACCCTGATAAATTTGTCTGAGGTACGAGGAAGCCGGCTGGATGATTGGAGGGACCACAGCCGGAGCTATGAATGGCAGTGGTAAGTGGTGAACTCCTCCGAGCATTTGATGTGCCGCCACTACAGCTTACTGTGGAACATTTACTAACTCTAATGCAAGAAGGAATTGAGGTCTTCAAAAGAGGGCGGGAAAAGCCTAAATTTAGTACCGATGAGTTGACGTAGGGGCTGGGTTCGCAGGCCTTAGTAGAATTGATATTGGGTATGGTAATATTGGTGATGGTAGTAGTGGTAGGAGTAGGTGTAGGTGTGGGCGGATTGCTCAATTCGTCGTGGTTAGGTCTAGTTTGTTTCAAAGTTAGATGGTGTGTCTGAGGTTGGTGTTGGGAATGAGTGAATGGGTGAGTGCGGTGGCCTGAGAAAAGGAAACTGGAGAGACCGAGGTTCGAGGACACGGCCGTGCTGTGTATGGAACCAAAGGCCGGAGATACACTCGATTGCGACGAATGTGAGCCCGAGATGAAGCTGCCAACAAGAGCCAGTTCGCTACCCGGGTTCAAAGAGCTCGCTGGACTTGGACGAAGATCAACACGGGCATAGTTCCTGCTAGGATCTTTGACCTACATAGGAGAAAGTAGTTATCTACAATAATAACTATATTTACTAATATTATCTAGTAATATGTGATGGTTTGTTAATTGAAGAGAAATAAAAACAGAAGGTAAATGGGCAGAAGAAAGATCAAATGCACAAGTGGTAAGTTAGAGATGATGAAGGAGGCTTGTCTGCCTTAAAGTACTCCGCTTTAAGAATCGCTTAAATAGATTAATCTAGTTTAGGTTGCCTCTGCAAGAAAGGGCTAGAAAGTAAACTACTTCGTTAATAGTGGATATATAAGGTTATACAGGTTTGAGCCTCTAGCTTAACCTCTGT